TAATCTAATTTAATTAATCTACCGAAGATCTTATTAATTATCTTTTTTACATTATTTTAATGATACTATCGATTTGTAATGTTCAAAAAATTAGGATTTATTGATATGTAAATATCATTATGATGAATATTTACACAAAGAACGATATATAAAAACGAGAGGTTATAGTTCATTTTTATAAAAATATCTTTCTATCAATATTTTGTAATAGAATATTATATATTTTAAAGATGAAAAATGAAACTAAATAACATTAAATCATTATAATTATTTTATTGAGATATACATTATTAAAGAACAATAAGAGTATGTATGTTTATTACATTTGAAACTGTATCGCATCTTCACGCTGATGAAAGTGTATAAATTAATCATAATCATATTTGTCAATGAACATAACAACACTTCACAATATCTTGTCAATTCAAATATTTGCCAATCAGTTAATTGTACAGTCATAGAAAATATTAATAAGTATCAACTATCGTAATACTGTTATATTTATAAAATAAAAAACTTGATATTTGACTAATCATTAAAAAAGAGAATAAAAAACACTGTACTTTTATCCTTCGTAACGATACTAAAATAATCTTCTTTTCTTTCAGTATATTTATTCATATTAATTTCAAAATATTTTATGATATTATGAAATAAAGCTACTCTTATTTGTTTTCTATTAGTTAAAACTTACTATTTCTTCTAATAAATGCATCTCTCTACTTTCTTCATACTTGTTTAATTTTCTTTTTTTCATATTTTGATTTATCTTCAACTTATCTTTCGTTGATCTTCTTTGATATGTAACATCACATCAAATTGTATCATTCATTTCTTCCTACTTACATGTCTCAAATTCCTATACAGATAAGACGATACTTAATTAAATCTTGACAAAAACTATACCCATTACTTGAACAGCATTTTGTTTCCATGTAAAACAATGAAAAGACAAATTTTAACAATGAAAAAATATCAGGCCTTGTTTCTTTTCTTATTAATAATTAATTACCATTTGAGTTACTTAAATTTAAAGTTTCCAACATAGTTACAAGCATTTCAGTGAAATTATATTCACTACATGGATATTTCTTGTTAGTAAAGAAAAAATTATTTTATTATTTTTTTTTGTGTCAACAATAAGATACTTATAGAATGGTAAACAATAAATTCTTATTACAGTAATATCTTACTTATGTCAGACTCGTTTTATCATTCAAAAGTTGTGTCTAAAAGATCGAAATGAAATTAACATACACAACAATGCTCATAAAGAAAACGATTTTTATGTGCTAATAATATAATTTATCAAAAGTAAAAGAGAAAATACACACCATCGTTTGTGTTTTCATCATGTGGATTTTAATTTATAAAAGACGATCTGATAATTATTTAATTGTACATACATCAATGATAGGCTATCATTTAGAATCTCTGAATTAATACATATATATATCCCTTCATACTGACTACAATACACAATCTTCATAAGTTGTCACAACATTAAATAATTACCATTTGAATAACCTTTTTTTTGACTTTCAGTGAAGGGCAACATTTCAATTACATTACAAGATGCTTTGTTGATGAAGTTATTCTTCAAAACAAGAATAAAACTGTTTATTGTATCTATAGTTTCTTTGTTTCCTGTCAGTTAGAAAAAAAGAGAAATGTCCTAGGAAACAATACGTTGGAATATTTTTTTAAAATTTGTTTAAAAAAAACTGGAAAATATGGTCATCTCTGCCAATCAGAAAAGGGTTTTCTGACAAAAAAATACTGAAACTATTGTTTTTCTCTATTTTTAAAAATTACTCTCTGGTGTTCTGCATAAAATGAGTAACTCTTTACATTGTTCACTATTAGTTTGAAAGAATACATTCATTTCAAACAATAACATTTGTTCGTGTAATATTTGAACGCCATAATTATTTTAGAATCTATTATATCTTATCCAAAACTTCGATTTATAAAATAATCAAAGGTAAAGTTTTAGTATATAGATAATGTTATAAACTATTCTACATTTATCATCTAGATACGATATATATTTTATTGATCTAATAATACAGTTTAGGTTTTGTTTAGAAATACTAAAATAATAGTCGCTACTTCTAACATATCAATATTCATCTCGTTATAATTTCTTCATCTTCTAGTTACATATAGATATAGATTTTAATACTATTCTTGATTATCTATAAATATAGATCAATGTGAATTTGATTCGATAAAAGATAAATGTAATATTTTTATTCTTCTTGTTATTTATTCACACTATCCCTTTAAACTATTCCATAGATGCTATCACATCATCATTCATACATATATGCTTTACAGAAGACTACAAGAGTTCATGCTGAAAATGACATAGAAAATAATTCAAAACTTCCATACATCATATATATTCTCTTTCCCGTAGAGAACAATCTCGCAACAATAAATTGTTTATTTACTTGCTTATCTATCCGCACTTCACCGATTAGTCGGAAAACTAGGCGAAGATATAAAATAAATTCTTTTTATAAGGGTTAACCAAAGAGTAACCGGGGTCAAGCAGCTCGAATCTAGTGTCAATTTCTCCAAATTTTTTTAACGATCAATTTTTTACACGAACGAACACCTTCTCACAAAAACATTTTCATATAAATTGATTTAAGAATGATCGTAATCGACGAATTCAAATCTGGCTTCCTTTTGTTTAATTACATTAACCAATAACTTCGTTGTTGTTCAGTAATGCATTTTTTACGAAAAAGAAGTGCATGAGTCTTACTACGAGCGTTACTTTTATATATTAGATAAGAAAATGTATTTTATAAATCGATATCTCTGCAAATACAATAGGTTTTTCGAAACGATTTTGATGGCCTACGAGTGACTACTAGGATCTAGTAGTAGTACGAAGGCCTAGTGATAGTACTAGGATCTGGTAGGGATCACTAAGGTCTAGCAGTACACTGAAAATAAAAAAGGGTTTATACGAAACTAAAAAATGGTTTCGATGTTTGTAACGAATTCGAAACCCTTTTTTGGTTTCGTATGATCGAGGTTTTGTACCATACTATGGTCAAACCTACATGAAAAATGGTTTCGTGGTCAAGGTTTCGTACAAGCCTATTTTTCAAGAGTGAATAAAAGGGTTTCGTATCGAAGGTTTCGCATAAATCTATTATCTGCACTCCAATAGATGGGGTTCCGTAATCAACACCTATTGCAATTCAGTCTCTAGTTTCGTAAAATGCACTATTAAAGACTGTTTTAAGTAAGCATTGCTTAATAAACAATATCATTTATTAATTTTCCTATATGATTCTGGCGTGCAACAGTAAAAGATACACTTCTCCCTGGCTTTTCTCTGTATAGAAGAAGACCATTTGAATTATTCCCAGTGGTCAAGTTGAGTTGATGATCATCTAAATGAAAGAAAATAGAATTAGTTTTATAGAAGTATTTTGCTTACCGACTAAATTGTTCTTTTTATCATGTTAAATAAATCGAATTAGTTCATATTAAAGCGATTTAATATTTATAAATCCATTCTTCAGATCAACCTAAATATAAAAGAAAAAATGAATTGAATTTTAAATAAATAATCACTTTTAGCTCTGTTTCTTTGGTTCATCCTAAACATAAAAAACAATTCAGTTTATATTTAAATATTCACTTACATATAAAATTATTGTTTAAGTAAGCCTAAATGCAGAAGAAGACATATAATTTATAATAAAATACTTACACGTAAAATTTATTCTTTGAACCAACCTAAATATAAATGAAAAATTTAACTGAATGTGAAATAACTAATTACCTCTAATTTTGTTTCTTTAGTTCATTCTAAACATAAAAAAAGAAATTCAATACACATTTAAATAATCACTTGCATATAAAATTATTGTTTGGGTAAGCCTAAATGTAGAAGAAGATATATAATTTAAATTAAAATAGTTACTTACACATACAAATATTCTTTGGATCAACCTAAATACAAAAGAAAAAAGAAATTGAATTTGAAATAAATAATTACCTTTAGCTCTGTGTGTTTTGTTCATCCTAAACATAAAAAAAAGAAATTTAATACATATTTAAATTATCACTTACATATAAAATTATTGTTCGAGTTAGCTAAAATGCAAAAGAAGATATATAATTTAAATTAAAATAGTTACTTACATATAAAATTATTCTTTGAATCAACCTAAATATAAATGAAAAATTTAATTTAATTTGAAATAAATGATTACCTTTAGCTCTGTTCCTTAGTTCATCCTAAACATAAAAAAGAACAATTCAGTTTATATTTAAATAATCACTTACATGTACAATTCTTGTTTGAGTTAGCTAAAATGCAGAAGATACATATTTTTTATTAAAATAGTTACTTACACATAAATTTATTCTTTGAATCAACCTAAATATAAATAAAAAAACTTAGTTGAACTTGAAATAAATAATTACCTTTAGCTCGGTTTCTTGGTTCAGCCTAAACATAAAAAAAAACAATTAAATATATATTTAAATAATCACTTACACATAAAATCATTATTTGAGTTATCTAAAATGTAGAAGAAGATAAATATTTTATAATAAAATAGTTACTTGCACATAAATTTATTCTTTGGATCAACCTAAATATAAAACTATTGAAAGGTTCCAGAATAATACATACTGCTGAATTTGCTGTTGATTTTAATAATTGGATGTACAATTTTTTTTAAATGTTTTGAAAAGCTTCGAAACACTTATACGATATTTTGCTTTTCTTTATGATAGTTTTCTGAATTTTTCGAAAGATCGACGAAATTAAATCAGATCGACTTTTTTTCGAGAAGAAAATGTAAATGGATGATAAGAGTAAAAAGCCCAAATATAATTAGATAGAAAGGAGAAGATATTTATTAAAAGAGCTTCTGCTTTAGTTTGATAAACGTAATATAGATAGAATCAATCAACGAAAAGTTTGCGTACCCATATAAATAAAAAATTGAACAGAAATATTTCTAGTTAATTTGTCTTTTAACTCGTGTACGTTTTACACGTAATGCTATTGGTTCTTCGGAACTAGCAGGACGTTTTTTTGCTTGAGAAGTTTTTTTATTTGAAGTAGTTGAAGATCGATCAGTTGATGTTGCTGATACTTGCTGTTTGATATTTGCTTCACATAATGTATTGTCATTCGAAGATGATGAAGATGCTATTTGTCTTTGTTGTTCTTTTGTTGGTGAAATGTGAATAACAAGTGGAGGATCAATTGGTGATGATGAAGAAGAAGAATCCGATGATTCTGATGAATACTCATTGATCAGATCCTTCTCACCAATATTTGTAGCTGTTGTTTGATCTTGACTATTACCTAATAATACAATATAAATATTCATTTTATTTCTTATACAATGAAAGTAAACCTGTTGTAGTTTCGACATATATTTCTTCTTGTTCTTCACTATCTGGTAAATCATCAGTTTGATTATCTTCGACTTGTGTCACACTTTCAACTGTAGCTGTAATAGTTTTGAAATTTGTCGAGTTCGTTGTCATCATATCACCACCTTCTTTATCTTCTTTTTCATCAATAATAAAACTCCATTGATTCAGTAAAATGCGTAGTGGTTTTGTTAATGCTCCAGATTGTTTTAATAGAATACCATATAACAATTGAATAATTCGATTGTGTATACCAAATTGTAATTCAAATATAACATATAATGAAATAACAATACATATAGCTTGATCAATTGATGATGTTTCACTAATAACTTCATAATCAAGAAAAATAATAAACTGATCTGTTGTTATTTGTATAGCTGGTCGTGGCGATAATGGTTCCTTAACGATAAAGAAAAAAATGTGGCCTTTTCTTTTTATAAAAAAAATAATCAATAGACATAATTAGCCAGTTGATTATGTGATGATTTTAGTTTTCAAAGAGATTTATTACGTACTTTATTCGATATGATTTGTTGCCATGAATCAGTAAAATACTTGGATAAAAGTTTAATCAAACGTACAGCTGGAAGATCTAAAGAATAACTGAATGGTATTAAATAGATAAACAGTCAACGTATTCACTCACCGTTCACAAAACCCGAATTATCTGGAATGCTATCAAGTAATTTAGGCAACATTAATTTGAAATTTTCTTCAATATCAACATTACACACATATCGAATCTCGTCGAAAATCTTTAAAAAAAATTAATAAAAAAATTATAGAAAGTGAGAAAAGATAATGATGAGCATACCAATGAAGCATAACAATAACCTGGGTATTCTTCAAGAACTTCTTTTGTTGTATGATCTCTAATGAAATTTCTTCTTTGAACTAATGTTTTTTTCCATGAACTTCGAACCAAATCCGAATCAACATTCCTATCTACCAATTCGTTCTTCATAACCTGGATGTTTTTATTTAAATCTTCCGGATCATCATGAATATCTATTGTATTCCAAAATTGAACCGGAGACTAAAGTTAAAAAAATAAAAAATAATTTTATTTTAGAATTTCTTTTTAAATAACATTTTTTGAGTACTTACTATTCGACGAGGTGCAATGACATTCTCACTTCGTTTGGTTGGACGACCAGCACTATTTCCATACTTTGCTTTCATCTTCTGTACTTGTACAGATATTTGTTGAAGCGGACGACGTTCTCTCTTAAATTTGGTTTTAAGACTTTCAATCCAATCATTCTATAAGAAAAGATTTACTTCTATGTTCACAGAATATCAACAGCAGATTCTTAAATATTTTATTTTGTAGTAAGCCATGTGACCAGTTAATAAAACTTACAGCCAATGAAACTTACAAAATGAAATAATTTTCATCAATTGAACTTTTATACAATGATATAATTTTTATAAACTTACTTTTCATAAAAAGAAATAGTTTTCGTCAACTTAACTTTTATACAAAGAAATAATTTTCATCAGCTGACTTTTTTAAAATGAAATAACTTTTATGAAATGACTATTTAAAAAATGAAATAATTTTCATCAACTTAAATTTTATGAAATAATATAAATTTTATGAATTGAACTTTTACTAAATGAAACAAATTTTATTAAGTTAACTTTTGTAAATTGAAATAACTTTTTACAAAATGAAATGATTTTCATCAACTTAATTTTTATCAAATGAAATAACTTTCATCAACTAAACTTTTACAAAATGAAATAAATTTCGTCTACTTAACTTTTTCTATTTTCTTAGCATATAATTTAAGAGCTAGATTCAATAAAATACGTAACGTATATATAATACTATGAAATTTATTGAAGTATATTTAGGATCTAATGATACTTCAATATGAGTCAAGTCATATATTTTACTATTTGCTTTTTAAAGCAAAAAATGTTAATGTTGATAATTTTAAAGATTAACTTATTTACCAATGCTTCATTATCTTTAGAAGTGTTTAATTTTTTTAGTATTGCTTTGCCCATTAATCTGTAATGATCTCTAGTAGGATATCTAAATATGAAAGAAAAAGCTACTGATATTTATCGCAGAAACAATCTTTATTACTTACAACAGCGAATATTTGGTTGTCACATCATTAAAAATTGTATCAAGTAAAAGTCGACGTGCATTTGTATGACTACGGAATTCACCTATTTCACCTTTATCAATAATTTGTTGAATTCTTAATGGTAAATCTGGTATAATATAAGGAGATGGTAATGTCGGTTCTTCGTCATCTACATCATTTTCTTTATTTTCATCTTCTTTTGATGATATAATTATTTCCTCTTGTATAATATCTGAAGTCGTTGTAGAACCCAATACAGGACCACCACCTTGAGTATTGCTTGAAAACATGATTGTAGACTGTGTTGTGATTTGATTAAAATTATGTTTGTCAAGTAATTGTTGAGAATCATCTAATGAAATATGACTATATTTTTCACATTTTGATTGATCAGAATCATTTCTACTTGCACCATCAAATAAATTACGATGTTCAGTTAAAAAACGTACACGATCTTTCATAGGTTTAATTATTTCATACATCATGGATTGTGGTAAATTAAAAAGTGTTTCACCATCAATATCTTCGCCTAAAAAAGAAAAGAATGTATCAATTCAAACATCTCAACAATATAAAAGGAGCAACACATTTTTATTGCTACATTTATAATGCAGGGAGATATTTTTTCTGCTATATGATCTTTATCAGGGTATTATTTTCATGACGCACATAGTTTGTCTTTAGTAAGACGCGAAAAAACGTTTACATAAAATTTTTTTTCTATCTCATATACGTCAATCCCTTTTGGTAAAATACAAATAAGTTCATCTGGCTCTTTAATGAAAAATAAATGTGTATGTTCAAGTTCATATGACCATAAAGACTCATTGAAACTGATTGTTTGTAGTTGTTCAACTATTAATAACCAAGTGGTATTAATTTTAAATATGAATGATAGATGAAGAAAAGAGGGTATCTCTTCCTCATGCATCAACTTATCCACAAATATAGATCCTTTAATTAACATAACATGGTTGAACTTCAATCGTTGATATTCCATAATTTTTATCGTATTATTAAAATGACCAATTTTTTTTTCTAATAATTTACGAATATCAATTGGTAATGTGCATAAATCTCGTTCAGATACTGAATAACCTTCATTAACAATTGTATAATAGTTTGAAAAGGATAAAAGAAGACATTGATGTAATTGATTCCGTTTCGATAATGTATAAAGAATATTTTTGAAATTGTTAGACTTCACAGCAAGTCGTTTAAATATCTGATGCTTCGATTCAAAGCGCATGCACCAATGTCTGATAGCTGGACCATTCATTTCGATCTGCTTTGCATAATCAGTCACAAAGTGTATCTTTGGAGTCACCATGTGCGGTAATAGATGAACCATTAAACATTGAAAACGAATACATAATGAATGTAAATATGACAACCAAGATTTACGAAATGGACAAGCAAAAACTAAACTCACAATCTCTCGTAAACATATGTAAATCTCTTTTGTTTCTAATTGATCAATCAAATCATAAAAGATGATAGGGAATAACTTAAAAAATAGCATCTTCTGCGATGCTGTACCAACAATTTTCCCTTTTTTTAAATGTTTCTTTCGTAAAATTGGTGGCTTGTTGGGCTTATCATTATCACCATATACGAACGCTAACAATCGATTTTCAATGTCACCATATGTAAGGAGTCTTTTTGTTGAAGCTTCTTTCAACATAGCCATTATTAATTGACCACAAACACCTAAAGAGACAAAAGATTTTATTTTTAAAAATAATAAAGTTTTTTTTTTATATACCCTCATTAAAATCGTGCATAGGGTCATTAGGTAAAGAAGTTACAGCATGAAAACCTATCAGATTTACCAATGGACTTGCACCAACAACACCATGTAATGTAACATTATTATTCAAATTGGTCACTTGTTGAACAAAATTATTATGTTGATCTTGTATTCGACGACGATGAGTAATTTCATTCAAAGGAACAAGTTTTTGATTATAATTTACATGACAATGTCTACAGAATTCTCCAGTATTGAAAATTTTCTGGAACCCTCCTATATCATTCGACGCTAAATGATCACCAGTTACTACTGTAAATGCAAAATGTAAATGAGTCTGAAGAGTTGGAATGAAAATTCCATTCATTTGCAAAGCATTTAGATCTTTAACTATTGGATCAAAAAAAATTTTTCTATTTAACTTATTAGTTAAATAATTAGAATGACACATGGCAACAACTCCTATTGAATTTAAGATTGATTTAATAGTGTCAGGTAAATCTTCTAATTGAAAATATATCATAGTAACTTTTTGAGTATCTTTTTTGGCACCTATAGGGTTAGTCAAGCCGATATCATCTATATAGAGTTGAAGTAGTAATGCATCAGGTTTATTTTTCAATACTGTATGTTGTTTCCCAAGTAATCCATGACGAAAATTGAACATCAAATCTGTATCCATAATATTACGACTGACATTTTCATTAAAATTTTTGATCAGCATAGGTAAAACATCAGGTTTTTTTAACATTTGTTGAATACTGCATTGTATAGGAATATAGTAAGCTATCTGATCAGGATTTTCTAACTTTATTTCTTTAGCTGGTGTATAGGAAAAATATTTTTTACATAATTTCAAGAAACTATGTTCATTTTTCGTAATATCTGTTATTCTTTCTGTTATGTTTGAGATAACTTCATTGACATCACTCAATAAAATAGAATCATATATAGCTGAATTAATAGTTGTTTTTTGATTTTTGATTTTTAATAACTGATAAATTAGTTCAATCAAAGATTTTAATCCAGATGTGATCGTTTGGATAATATTTTGCGGTAAACAATGTCCTTCTCTAAGACTAAGCAAAAAGTCCATGTAAAACTTTTCAAAGAATTCTAGATCTATTTTTTTTTCTGACGATCGAGCTATTGTTTCTTTAAGCAACGGCCAACATATAGTATCTTCATCTTCTATTTCTTCTTCACTCTCATCTTCTTCGTTTTCTCCATCATATATTTGCATATTAAAATCTGATTGTGTAGCATAATTTGTCGCCAATAAGGTTTCATCATCATGTGTATCTGTAATTATTTGTACTTCCTTTCTATATAAATCTTCATTAAGAAGATCCACATGCTGTCGATAAATATGACCTTTGTAAGCAGCAAAGGTCGAATATATTCGTCCACATAATGGCCCAAGTTCACAGCGAACTTTAAAATCTAATTGTCCATTATGCACATACTGTATGTGCTTAAATAAATCAATGAATTTACAGTACGGCTTTCCTTGGACGCAAAGCGAGCAGAAATAAGAATTGTGTGAAGACATAAGACCACTTACTAGTAAAAACATCAAGAACTTGTTTATTTTTATTGAAAGAAGATAACCATTGAATTACTTGAGAGCAAGTCCACTGACGAGGATCCATTATAACCTTATTTAAACTTGTAATTTTTTAGATCGAGAATCACCAGATAAAATTCAATAGAATCGAATAACTAATATAAAATAAAAAAAAATAAAACTAGTATTTATATACAAAAGAAATACCTTTATATATTAAACAAGTGTTGTTGTATATTCAGTCAGATAAAATGTGATAGAATTTGAATAACTAATATAAAATAAAATAAAATTAGTATTTGTATACAAAAGAAATACCTTTATATATTAAAACAAATGTTGTTATATATCCAGTCAATTAAAATCAAATAGATCTGAATAACCAAAATAAAGTGAAATAAGATTTATATTGATAATAAAAGAAATACCTTTATATATTGAACAATTGTTACTATAAATCTAGCAAGTTTTTTATCCGAATTGTCACAATATAAGTAGAGTAATATTCAAGATGAAATCTTAAGCGTTTTGTAAAATCTAAATCAAAGGCAACCTAATCAGAACATATAATTTCATGTATATTTGTGTTTAAAAAAGACAGCTGGAAAAAACAATAACAAACAGCATGGTGTTTGAACAATTTGCAAGTTCTTTAAAAAAATTGTGACAATCATTGCTAACAATAATAATCAACAGTGAGTGCAATAAAAAAGATTATTAAATTCACTTCAGAATTTAACTAATAAGACGTAGTGAATACAG